GAAGGCTCTAGGGGGAAGAGTCATGTACAGGTATATGTACATTGTGTGTAAACACATAGGAGACCTGGAGACCCTCTGCATAGAGTTTCAAAACTTCATGGTCTACTCTGTCAGTATCTCACCCTCAAAACTCCGATTCCACTGAGATCCATTTGGGGGGGGGTTGCAGGGACAGAACCACCTATATGAGTAAGAAATGAATAGATAATAAGGAGATGTATCTAAATAAGTAAAATAAACAAATCTTATTCCCTGCTCCACAACTGGTAGTAAGAAGGTGGCAGTGGGAGAGAAAGTGGCAAGTGTATTAGAGGGAAGTACCAAATGCATTTGTAGACTCAATATTATTTCTTTAGCACAAAATCACTTTATTTTGGCCACTATCCTCCCAATCTGTCTCTTACCTTCCTATGTATATGTCATTCATTCATTTGTCTACATTGATCCACTCATTCATTCAAAAAACTGAAAATCTACAATGAGTGCTAGAATATAATTTCCCAAAGTATGATCAGTTTTGTGGCCAGCTAAGTTGGGCAAATGTCACACATTCATGTCACAAACTCTCTTTATGTAAATACATGGGGCACAGGGGTATACCATTAAATGCTCTAAGGGGTCTGAGAGTAAAGAAATCCATTGACATGGTCTGACCCAGTGTTTCTCCAGAGCCATACTTTATATAACATTTACTATGCAATTCTGTGTAACTAGCGTTGCTTGGAACCACTTCAGGAAATGCTGCCCCATGGGCCAAACTGTTCTCTCTCCATCCAGTTCCCATCTTTTCCTTCCCGGCAGTCCCTCCCTGGCCAGCCCTCCTTCAGGCTTCTCATGATGCTTCATGAGGGGACCACATTTCTATTTTCCCAGAATCTTTCTTACATTCCTGATTTCTTAAAACACCCCTATTGACCCTTTGACAGAATAGAATCCATCTGTCTTCTGATGACACTACTCCTCACCACTGACTGTCGTCTGGCCTGGACACTGGACAACAGCAAAGTCCATAAGGAAGACTTCCTCAACATGCAGGCCCTCAATATTCTTGATTCTTTTTATCAAATCTCTATTGCTAAAAACAGTGTGCTCTGTCTCTGCATTATTAAATTCATCATCCCTGGTGGACCTCCTTTTCCCTTCTACCGTTTCTCGTAAACCTTCTCTGTCCTCAGCAGGCTTCCAGTTCCTTGGCCTTGGTCTGGGTACATGGTCAGGATTTTCACACAGCATCCACCAACTCCCAGGATTCCCTCCCAAGTCACCTTGACTTTCCACCACGTGCACTTCCTAATCCTCAGTCCTAGGCAAATGCAACCATCCAAACTTGGCTTCTGGTCCACAATGTGACATGCACAATTATTCTCCTTAGTGATGGAACCCTTGCTGATTTGTGTTGCTAACTTCAGGGAGGCCCCCAGGGCAGCTTCAACTTTACATGAATTTATTTATTTTTCCCTAAATAACTCACAGTCATCTTTACCCCAGCAGTATAGTTTTTCTATTCTTCTCACCCTCCCAAACCCACTTTATTTTCTTTACATTTGCTCAATCATTTTTTAACTGACTACACTGTGATAATTGCCAAGTGTCAGGAACTCCGTCAGTTAGTTCAAATGCCTCTATTTCTTCCATTCTCTCCTCCTTCTCTGAGAATGGTGTGTGCCCATCCTCAACACGGCTCATCTATGTCTGTGATTAGGTCCATTCCACTTGCCTCAGTGCTTATCTCCACCTTCAGCCCCTGTATTTCTCCTAACTCTTCTTTGCCTGCACAAACATTCAGTTTCCCTTATCCTTTAAAACAAATCAACAAAACTTCCCTTCTCCTGGAAACTCCCAATCCTCTCTAGCCTCGCTTTCATTATGGACCTTCTCTGAAGGATAGTCTACATCCCTGATTCACTCCTGTGTCAGTGTGGTGACCATATCTTCTGATCCAAAACTCAGGCCACACAGTCTGTTTGAATTAACAAACCAGTAAGGCTGTGAGAGAGAAAACCGGAAACCAGCTGTGTCCTGGGAGTTCGTAGTCCTGAGATCACCGTGTTGACCGGGCATCTCTGCTGATGGCCTGGGCTCTGACGTTCTCCTCCTCACTCCTCCTCTCCCACGCAGCCCACCACCTCTGAAGCATAGCTCAGGAAAAGTTCTTGGTGCTATTTGCTATTTCATTAAGTGAGTTACTCTCCCCTTTTGGAGGAATGCTTTCAGTGACAATCTAAAAAGAATCGTGAGGAGAAAGCTTTAAAGTTTGAGCTATACTGCTCTGCACTGAAACAAACCTGAACTTGATTTAAATACATCCTGGTCAGAAGTTTCTGTTTGTCTTCTGTATAAAAACTAGAGCATCCAAATTCTTATTTCTCTTTGATTCTAAAAGGTGAGCAGGTGAGTAAGAAGTACAATGACTTATTCTAACCATTTTTATCCATCTTTTGGACCAAGCTACCCAAAATTGACTA